TGGCGGACTTGGTCCGCCCAATTAGTTTCCCGCTTCACTTGGAGCTGGTGAAGATGGATGCGAACTTGGCTGTTGTATTAAGTCTCTTTTTTTGTTTGGCCATTTGCACCATAATAAATGTGTGCTCTACATATTCTCTGTAGTTGTCCCTTTTGAAAAGGTTTGAGACTATACGGCAGTGTTGTTGAAGTTTTAATAGACACTCCTTTTGTCTGGATGTGGTTGGACGTGCTTATTCTAGTAGTGCTTTGTATTAAAGGCATTAACTCATCTGCCAACTGTCCCAGCCTGGTCGAGCTTAAGTCTTTTTGCGTGGCTAACACAGGATTTTATCGAAAGCGGCAACGACTGAAAAAAATTGTGTGATACAATTTCGTTGCTGATTTCTAATCTCGATGCAATTGACAATGGAGGTGGACATTAATTTGTCTAGCATCTCTGGCTTCGTTTGCACGTGTTATTCTATTAGGATTTGTTCCAGTTCATCATGGTAAACAAAACCACTCTTAGCCACTATTTCCGCCGGTAAAATTTGGTATTTGTGATGTTCTGTTTCTCAGAAAAAATTGGATTTCAATGGTTGCAAACCAACTGATAATATTGCCTTGCATGAATCCCGGTGTTTTGATAGTTATCTGTTGGACAGTTATTTCGTGGTGCTCTCGTGCCATTCTGCTTTTGTGTTATATATATATTCATGAATTATTCACACAAAAACAAATGCAAAGGTTAATGATTTAATTGGCGAGAAATCCATCGTCGCAAACAATTCAACTAATATACAAAAACCTCCAGAAAAAAACAAGAACAACATCTATTCCATACCTGAAGATGTCTGTAGGAACTGACGAAAGCTTGTAGTAAAAATAAGAACTAATACGGCAGAAATTTATAGAAACAAGGATCTTTTCATTCATAACGGATTCGGAGGTTTTTGTATATTATTTGAATTGTTTGCGACGATGGATTTCTCGCCAATTAAATCATTAACCTTTGCATTTGTTTTTGTGTGAATAATTCATGAATTTGTAAATTGATTGCACGTTTATCGAAATATATATATATATATATATATATATATAAAATGTGATGGATATTAAAAAGTATATTTCTTTTTGTTCGTCGGTGTCACCAAATATGTTGTGCGTGAATATATGCTATTGGTTTCATTTACAAAGCGAATAGCTATACAATATAAACATATTAAAAAAAGTTCAAATACACCACAAATGTCTTCATATAAAAACACTTGGCTGAAATGTTCATACAAGGTGTGCATGTGTTTTCTTCGTAAGGGATTTGATATCTGAAATAAAATATAATATTTGGTATTATCTTATGTTGATTGTCACGAGTCTGAAGACGTACGTCTTTCTAGTCAATAACATAAGAAGAGGATGTTTGACTTTCACGCCTAACGATCTCTCGGTAAGTTCACGTGACTATCTATATATCTATATTTAGGTTTTTAAAGGGGAGATAACTGGGAGATAACTTTTTGTCTCTCACAACAACCGCTGCAAGTACTTTATGATTCATTAAAAAAAGTAAATAAGTAAAGAATACCTCAGGAAAATTAAAATCTGCAAGAATATTAAAACGGAATTATATAAATAAAAGATATTGATAGTATCTCTACTTAGTTATTTTGGACTGTTCGGAAACTGACCGAGAGAACTAAAATCATTGGATCGAGGGACTAGGAGTGTGAAATTGTATCAAGAATGGGGCAAACGAGAGACGTCAAGACCAAACAGACGCGGAAATTTAACTCAGCGGCGTAATATCAAAGAGTGAATGAAAAGTGAGCCACAGATATTCGAAGAGACATAAGAATAGTAAAAGATACTTTTCAAAAACTGAATAAAGTATTATGGTCTCGAGAAATAACATGAGAAACGAAGAAAAGATTATCGTATAAAGTCTACCTTTCTTTATAGCTGTGAATGTAGGACAAATTTGTCATAAAAGAAAAAATTGAAGCGACTAAGATTTGGTTCTACCAACAGATGTTAAGAATGCTATGTATAGAGCATGTGACGAATTAATTTTTTAGGAATACAGGAATTACAAAGAAACTATTGATAATTAGCAGGAAAAGGGCAACTGAAATTTTGGGAACACATAATGTTTCGAATATTTCAGACATAGGACACATCGAAGTGGATAGAAACGGTAGAAACAATGAATAACCTTTTTGACCACTTGGTAAATGGATAGAGGAATATGTACAAAAAGAGAGATAGAAAAGGAATGCAAGAAGCTGTGGAAAATCATGATTGCGTACATACTGAAGAGGATAGAAAATAGATAGGGGGATAGAGAGAGAGAGAGAGAGAGAAGGAAGCGTGAGAGAAAATAGAGAGAGAAAATATCAACATTATACTTCATAAAATATAAATAATTTTAGCAAAACATTTTCTTCAAGTTTCGACTAAATTTTAACAAACACAAGACACTTTTTTAGTAATAAATATGAAAGAATATTTTTCTTTAAATAACCAATTTACAGGTCAGATTTTATGTTTTATATTCGCCATGTTAATCTGGCTTATTTTTATCATTGTCCTCCATTCTTTTATTTTTCTGCAATTCTTTGCAGGGATAGCATCAAATGACAATTTGCAGCACATTTTCTAAAAAAAGGAAGGCTTAAAATCTATTTACGCTGAATATTGCCTTTTAAAACAAACAATTTTCTAGCTTTTTCTTTTTATAATTATTATATTTCTTCTTCCATTCCTATTACAATATCCTCATATTTATTTCTCTTTCCTTTTTCTGTTACTACGCACATTCTCTCTTTAAATATCTTAAATTACGTTATCCTTAAAAATCATGTGAGAAGCCAATCTATGCAGATTTGCATTGTCAAAAGGACTTAATATTTTAGGTAATAATGTAAACTAATTCAACCATATTTCTATTTGAACTCTTTTTTTTGTAAATAAATTCAAATGTCATCGAGACCGGCACAAAATGAAGGAAACGTACATTTTATATATTGGATGGCCTGTTCTCTTGATACATCTGTCATCCTATATTTGCATTTTATTTTAGAACAGTGCACACACACACACACACACACACACACACACACACACACACACACACACATATATGTATATAAAGTTAAGAGTTCAGTTGATTTCGCTAGTATCCTCGGGTGATTTTTATCAATTGAGCCCTAACACTCCATTTAAAAAAACAAAAAAAAAAACAATGAACGATATATTATTTTTAAAAAGAAATAAACAAACCCACAGCGTTTGGTGTGATAGAAAGAGATGAGGAGTATGCGAAGAAAACAGGAGGAGGAGGAGAAAAGCAAACGTATCGGTGGGCGATAATTGAAATGTACACACTTTTTTTTTTAACCAGCTTCATATGAGCTCATTCTTTGGTCATGTTCCCCTCTATGGGGGGGGTCTTACTCGGGAGAGATATCTGCGAAGTGTCGTCCAGCTTTTGAAGTTTGTTCTGATGTTATATAGACCGCAGATCCTTTGTATTTTTCTAAAGACTGTGTGTACGCTATCCTGTGCAGCTGCGGAAAGAAATATAAAGGGGAGACAGGCCGCCCCCTTAAGGTAAGGCTTCAAGAACACTAGAAAGCTGTAACACGAGGGGAAGTGGAAAAATCAGGCGTGGCTGCTCACATATGGAAAGAAAAGGGAGATCACCGCCCTCTGTGGGATCAAGTTGAGATCATAGACAAAGAACACCATTGGAAAATTCGTAAACTTAAGGAATCAGCACATATGCTAGGCCACAAAAATCTCTTGAGCCGACCAAGCATAGAAATGAATACAATATGGGAACCAACAATAAGGAGTGCCAGAGAAAAGCGATGATAACAACAAAAATTACTATATGAGCTCTGTCAAAAACATGAAATGATTGCTGAAGACATTAGGTTTATAATACCCAGAAATTCATACGTAGATGAAGGACACATGGCATAGTGGATAAAGGCGTTAGTTAGATCCAGTGACAGGACCCAAAGAGTTGTAAGTTCAATACCCGGTTAAGGCAGTGGAGAACTTGGGGAGGGGAATTAACAGGAAATAACTGACAATTGACACCCATTAAACATGGCACGTGGAAGTAGAACAGTCTACTCCAGTGAGCGAAATAAAGTGTTCAGTTCTTCATTCCATCCACCTCCATGAAGGCCAGAGCGTACAACAACCGAAACGTTGTAATAAATATGGTGACAAAGTCCGAATAATGTAAATAGTGAACCACACAAGTGAAAATATGAAGACAATAGTCCGAATAATGTAAATAGTGAACCACACAATACCTTATCTCAGAAATATAGACACAGTTATTGGGGGTTGTTTTACAATCGGATCCCTGCTCTTTTCTTCTTTTAAATCCCACACATGGTTAGCTAGTTTGGTAGACCTCCTGTGAAGAAGTCTAGTGTCGATGATAAAAACTCTTCCTCATTGAAAGAGTTGGTGGAATAACCGACACTTGCATGTCAATTATTGCGGGCTCTTGGAATCTTTTGTCCTTATCTCGTATGTACGTGTATCGGCACCAGACAACCTTGTGTTAGATCATACCACCCATGTAAGTCACTCAGGCACAGACATACACATACGTATTATATATGTAATGTAGGTAATATCACACGCAGACAGTGTATAATGGACAGAGAATTATCATTTATAAGATTTCAAATTAATAAGGAATCGCTTAGCTTGTTCGAATCGTTCATAATTTAAAGTGAAAACATGGTTTACAAAAAAATTAAAATCAAAGAGGGAAATGTAATAAAGTCGAAATTAATGAAATCGTTTGACTTCTTATCTTAAAGCTATTTATGAGCGATATGGAAAACTGGTGCAAAGTACTGAATATTTACAATGTTCTCTATGTTTAAATGACGTCTAAACAGAGACTTTCAATGATTGAAGTACATGCAATTAAGTACAGTTTGGCTCGATGAATACATAATAAATATTTATTATAAATATTGTTTAGTTTACCCGTTGTTGCCTCTGTATATCACACCACATTTCCACGCTGCTTGATGTCTCAACTGAGTTAAGGTGAATTTGCACTTCGCCGAGAATATTGTGACGGGAGTATTTGTCATAGTTGTAAATTTGAAATATCAAGGATTTGTCGTTGAGATCATCATACGGTAGAGGAAACTTGAAGAATTCATTAAAAAATGGGTTCAACGTTCGGCGACGCACCGAAGATTGTCGCATCCGTTCATCCACTTCTGGATAAAGGAACAGTTTGATGTAAGGGTCACTGAAACCGGACACCGAATCTGGACACATCAGGTCTTGTACTGAAACAAAAGAAACATAAGTAATATCAATAATTAGCCTTTATTCTTTCGTTTTTATCCATTGGTTGATTGTAGTGGGGAGGAGGAAAAGGTAGAAGAGAATTCAAATTCCCTTCTTTTCATATTTAATGAATGTCATTCTAAAACAAAAACATCTTTCTCTAACATTTTACAAATCGGTGGTCAGTAAAGAAATATGTACGAGGATTTCCTCTAAAAGTAATGCCTCTTACTTTACTTGCTGTTGGTTAATGACCTCAGAAGTGGTTGCTAATGGCAGAGGTTGAACATTTTCATCAATAAACCATCATTTTGTTTGTCCTCTCATTCACATGGCAACCGAGTGACAATCTGACAAAATGCTGTCTGAAGGACGACTTAGCGTTAGTACCTCTTTTACTGAGTAAAAAGCAATTTTAAATTTATTACAAGCTCTGAATATAAAGAATTTTGTCTTTAATCTCTCCGCTTTTTACTGAAGTTCTTTATTTATTCTTTAAACTGAATTCTAAAGAATATTTGCTCCCAATGTTTGTTAGTGTACCTTGAGGTAATATGTCAAAAAAGGTGCAACGACCGACAAAAGATAATAGCAAATGAAAAGAAGAAAACACACACAGCAGTGCCTGTCACGTCTGCGAAAGTTGTCTTCGTAGAAAGTGCCGCTCCTCACTTCTGTGTCGGGAAATGTAAGGTAGAAGAGAATGACATGCAAGAATCACACAGGAGAAAGAAAAAAAGAGAAAAACAGTCCCATGTTGTTGGACGATCTGCTTCCCAGAAACTACTCAGTCGATTGCGTCGATCTGGGGAATTTCACAGCATAGGAAAGCATTATGTACAATGGATCGGATAATCTTGGATGTTGGAATGATTTGACTTGGCATATGAACTATGCTTGTCCAGGGCGTCAAATGTCGATTTCACTAACCTGACTTCTGATTGGCAATGAATTTGCTACTCGGCAACTTTGTTTCAAGGCGCTTATAGTTTATTTGTCAGACTGTGATCGATAGCTTCGTGTAATATCTCATCTCGATGTTAATGAAGATTTTGTTAGGTAGCCATAGTTAAAATGGTAGAATGCAATTAGCGGTAAACCACTAGTTGCATTCTGCCATTTTAACAAAGGTTAGGAACCTTTAAGGTGGAACCTTTTCTGTCAATGACTTAATCTATTTCATTAACTATCAATTTAAAATTCAAAGGTGATAAAGAAAGTTTTAAAATTTTCAATGAAGCGAGCTTGTTACGTGTGAATGATGCCAAGTTATATTGGCTTTTCTCGAAGACATATGTCGAGAGGAGATGATGTTTGTTTTTCTGTGTACTCCATCTCACAGTTGAGGTAGGCGATATTTATAAATTACTGGAAGGTACGTAGCATAATGTCCAATAGTATAACTAAACCATTTCTTGCAACTTTTCTTTTTCAAGAGAATGGCCTACTTGTTTCCAAAAAAAGAAACGTAAAAGAAAAACATCATCTAGATGATAGTAAAGAGTGAAAATGCAACTTTAAATAATAATAATAATAATAATAGTTATGCAAATCAGCACAGATTCTTTACTATAACTCAATTAATGGAAAGTTCTGGAGTCCCTCAAAGTAGAGTATTATTAAATGAGATGTAGAATATGAACGTAAGAGGAGGAAGTATAAAGTAAAGATTACAAGAATATGGCGGATAGATAACAATTGATCATTGACTTAAAGAGATTAAGATTGTAGTTTGAAAGTGTTGTAGAGTAATTTTCACAGTGGAGGCTTGTATTTCATTAAGTCGGTTCTAAATTAGGTTCGACGTACAAAACGTTAGGAACTTGAAATAATAGTTAATGACGCAGCAATCTAGTTGGGGTGGTTGATACTTTAATGTCCGACATCGACTGACACACCAACTCCACTCTGAGCTCTCCTGGCGACTGCTACTACTACTACTTATTATCTGTGGGGGAGTCTATTAACAATAGAATAAGTATGTTCCGGTATAACATCCCCCCCCTAAAACTTTACTCCTAGGAGTAAAAAGTTTCTTTCTTTCTTTATTTTTTTTTTTTTAGCAACATCGTAGCGTATCTCCTATGTTTTGGATCCACTTTTAAAGGATCAGTTGCCTTCCTTTTTCTCCTGGATCGGCATACCTCAGGTAAAATCGTTGCAGGCGTTGTTAGATCAAATGTATCGAAAATCACCTCCATCGGCGTTTCTTCCGCGGGACTGCTGTCAACCACGTCTGAAGAGCGTCGTCTGATCTGGTTAATGTGCCTTCTGCCCGTGAATTTTTCGCCTTTCACCAAGTACATCATTTCAGAGTGTCCACAAATTTTTCATCTAACCCTTTTGATCTTGAGTGATATGGGGCTGTGGTAACATGTTCGACGTTGTATTCCTTGCAGAAATTGTTTCGACGTAAATTGACTTCCGTTGTCCGTCACAATTGTGTCTACTACAGCAAACCTTGCGAACAATTCCAGCAGGCAGTTTTTAGTACTTTGCGTCGTCGGATTTCTTATCCTTTGTATCTCAGCCCATTTCGAAAAACTATCCACTACTATGATGTAATGGTATCCATTCAGTGGACCTGCAAAATCCACATGTAACCTAGACCATGGTAAGTCTGTTTTTGGCTATGGGTTAAATTTTATTGGGGTGCCTTTGCAGCTAAATCACAGCCTTTACATTTTGCCACTGCGTTCTCAATGTCCCTATCCATATTCGGCCAATATACAAAACTTCGCATTAGGCTCTTCATCCTAGTGCTGCCTGGGTGACCAGTATGAAAATCCTTTAGTATTTGCTTCTGCAGTGTGTATGGAATCACCACACGTTCTCTGTACAACAATACTGTATCGCAAAGCGAAAAAAAAATTGTTGTGTACTGGTCCCTCTCGGCTATTTTTCCTTTTATTTTCAAAATATACTTGTCTCTGGTGGCTTCTTCTTTTATTTTTTCTAGAGTTACAGGAAGTTCCCGAACTGCATTACACACAGTAAATTTCAGCTCTTCTTCTGACTTCAGTGAGGCTTCTGAGTTTAAACTTTCAACCTCGTAACAGAAAGAATTTATCGGTAGATCCCATAATTGAAATTCTGTTATCCAATTCGTACCAAGTAAGTTCGTGGTGTTTTCTATGACAAATAGTTTAGCTTTTCGCGTTTTTTTTATTTAAGGTGACGTTTGTAACAAATTCTCCAATAAAATGTATTTTTTCTCCCGTCACTGACCTCGCGATTTTATTTGTTTTCATTAAAGTTGGTTTCCCCAACTTCTTCCACGTATGCAAATTTATGATAGATAGGTCGGAACCAGTGTCGAGTTGCATTTTTATTTTTTTATTACTTGTTTCGACGGTAACAAATTTTCTGGTTATTCCGTCGTTCACTTCGTCGGACTTTAATTTTCTTATTTTATTGTCTTTATTTTTTTACCTGCAGCTTTTATGCCCCACACTTTCACAGTTGAAACATTTTTTATTCCTAAAATTGCAATATCTGTACCAGTGAAGTTCACCGCAAGCAAAACATGGCTTTGGGAGATTTTGTTTATTTTTCTCTGGTATTTCATTTTTTGTTTGATAATCCGCAATTTTAGAATTCTTTTTGGTAGACTGACTTTCTTTTTTGTAGCGTATTTTCCTTACATGCGAAACGCCAGACTGTTCTATCATTTTCGAGTCTTTCTTTACGCTAACATTTCTTGTGCAGTCTTCTGCCAAACTCTGTATCGTTAGACTTTGTTGGTTTTCCAATTTTGATAATACCAATTTCCTCAATTCTGCGTCACTTTCCGATACCAGCTCTTGAACAAACACTAAGCACTTGTCGGCGCTTAACTCTGCTAGCTTGAATTCTTCACAATGCTTATTCACATTGGCTGCGTACGTTATATAGTCTTGTTCTTCATCTTTCATCAGATTCAAACATTTCCACCTCTTGTGAAACAAAGATGTCTTTTTACTAAATAATTCACTTAACATATTTACCGCCTCGGTAAAAGTCAACTCGCTAGTTTTTTTCGGTAAAATGTTGTTTACCAATTTGTTATGCTCAGCAGTTCCTAACTTGCTTAAAAGAAGTCTAACCTTCTTTCCTTCAGACCACGTGTGGCAGTCCTCGTTATACACGTCCGTATATTTTTTTAAATATTCTTCAAAAGTTATCTCTTTATCTGGACTGTACGTGAATATTTCAATTGAATTCCATATTGTATTATGTGGGAAAGAATCATTTTGTAAATTTTTCTCTTTCCTCTCCTCAGTTATTTCCAGAATTTTATTTTGAAACTCCTTATGCATCAGTTCCATTTCTAGTTGAAACTGCATCTGTCTATTAAAAGTTTCCTCCTGTAGTTGCATCTGGAATGTTTTCTGTTGCTCTAATATTGTCATTTGTTGTTCCGTCTGGAACTTAAAAAATTCCTGGAATATATTTTTGCATTCCTCCATCTTCGCAAAAAGTTTAAACAATGCTTAAATATTGTAGAGGGGTGGGGGGTCCAAAACGAATTTGCAATTCGTGACCAATTTGAGCAAATTGTCTTATCGAGAAAAAAAATTCTTTTCTCAGTTGAGAATACGACTGATTTTTTTAAAAATGTGAATCCGAGATGTTGTCGCCGAAAATTTGACGAGCAAGTTTTTTTTTCTTTTTCCTCCGTATCAGACCGAATTTCGTCACTAAATAATGTGGCGAGCGAACTTCTTTTTTTTTTTTTTTTCTTTCACTGTATGAATCCGAACCCGTCGTACGCCACGTTTGTTATGGCGGGTGGTTGATATTTTAATGTCCGACATCGACTGACACACCAACTTCACTCTGAGCTCTCCTGGCGACTGCTACTACTACTACTACTTATTATCTGTGGGAGAGTCTATTAACAATAGAATAGGTATGTTCCGGTATAACAGAAAGGGAAGCGTGTGCGCGGGAGTCTGTTCTACAAAGTAGCGGTTCTTGGGAAGAAGCTTTTGGGATGATACGTCTTTTTAACTCTGTC